GGCCGCCCGCCCGCAGGAGCTGCGGCAGGCGGGCCTCCAGCCCGAGAGCGCCTCCACTCTGACGCGGCCCTTCGCCCGAGGATGCGTCGCGCACCACCTCCGCGCAGTGGACGGAGCCTCCGCACCGCGCGCGCCTCGACTGCCGCGGCCAGCTTCCCTGGCGGACCCCATGGGACCCCCGGGGGGCGCCTCCGGGCCACGCTGCGCCTCCAGGCCACGGCGGGTGCGCCCTCCCCTCGGCGCCCGCCGCCTGCGCCGCCAGCTGGGCCCTCTTGGCCCACGACGCGACGGCCTGCCTCGGGGCCAACTCGCTGGCAGAGTGCTGGGCCCGCTGCCCGCCAGCGCGACAGGCGCTGCAGGAGGCGGCACCGGCGCTCCAGGCAGCCGACTTCCTCCGGTCGCCCTTCGACTGGGGTTGGCTGCGCTGCAGAACCAGGACCCAAGCCACAGGCCCACCGGGGCAAAGCTGCGGCCAGCCCGACGCGCACGTTAACGGCAACCTGAAATGGCGGCTCTGTATCCCAGCGTGCACGCTTGGCTCCCAGAGTCAGCACCTTCGCCAGGACGGCAGCACGCAGCGAAAAGTGCGACGTGGACGAATCGCGCAAGAACCGCCACATTACTTGTAGCGATTGGCACCCAGCGAAGCACAAGGAAGTCACAGGAATCGCGGCGCCCACGGAGCAGGCAGCTCCCGCCTGGGATCGCAGCAAGTCCCCCGCACAGGGGTGTTCCAGCAAGCACTTCTCGACCTCTCCACAGGCGATCCGGCCACCGGCCGCCAGATCTTCGTCGACTGGTGCATCACCTGCGTACACTCAACCTACGCTCCTTGCAGGGGTGCCCGCGCCGACAGCAAGGATGGGCTTGCGGCCGCCTAGGCGATGGACATGAACCGAGGGCGCTGCCCCCCCCCCACCCCCCACGGGGGCGAGCTGGCCTGGCTCGTCTCCGAAGCGGGCGGCCAGCCCAGCGACGAAGCAGCCAGCGTCGTACGCAGTTACGGAGCAGACTTGGACGACGGCGAACGCTCCGAGCTGATGAGCGGCCTCTGGCGGCGAATGAGCAGAACCTTCCAAAGTGGCAGTGCTGAGATGCTCCTGAGCGCGTTCGGGCGCTAGGCCACCGTGGTGCCAGCGACCACGCCTGCGACGACCACCAGCACGACAACCCTACGACAGCACACGACCACTTTCACGACCACCTGGACGGCGTGCCCACTACCGCGATCCCCACGACCACCACCAACGCGACAACCGCCATGACCAATACGACGGGACACGGCCACCATCACGACAGCCACGACCGCCTCCACGACAGCCACCACGACGACTCAACAACCGCCCCCCGCCGCCCCCCCCGGCCTCCGTTCCTTCCTTGCCTCCTGCCCGGGCCGCCCCTGCCTGCAGCTGTCGCACCCTTACGTACCTCGTTAGTTCACGAAGTACTTGAATCGATCAGGCCTAGACTCCGCGGGATGCGTATATAGGGAGGCCGCGCTGGCTTCCGCGAGGCCGTTTGCCCGGCAGGGTCGGCGGGCCCAGCGACGCGGCCATGTGGCCCACCCCCTCCTCCTCATCCTCCTCCTCCTCCTCATCATCATCATCATCATCATCCTCATCCTCCTCCTCATCATCATCATCATCATCAGCAGCAGCAGCAGCAACAACATTAACAACAACAACAACAACAACAACAACAACAACAACAACAACAACAACAACAACATCAACATCAACAGCATCATCAGCATCATCATCAGCAGCATAATCATCATCATCAGCAGCATGAGCATCAGCATCAGTATCAGCATCAGCATAAGCATCGTCATCCTCATCCTCATCCTCATCACCATCACCATCACCATCATCATCACCATCATCACCATCATCACCATCACCATCACCATCGGCATCGCCATCATCACCATCATCACCAGCATCACCATCATCACAATCATCATCATCATCATCATCACCATCATCACCATCATCATCAGCATCATCATCATCATCGCAACCACCACCACCACCACCATCATCATCATCATGATCATCAGCATCACCATCGTCATGATCACCATCATCATCACCATCATCATCATAATCATCATCATCGTCGTCATAAGCATCAGCATCATCACCATCATCATCGTCAGCATCATCATCATCATCAGCAGTAGCATCATCATCATCAGCACCATCATCATCGTTATCGACATCAGCATCAGCAGCATCATCATCAGCATCATCACCATCATCAGCATCATCAGCATCACCACCATCACCATCATCACCAGCACCATCACCATCATCATCAGCATCATCATCAGCATCAGCATCAGCATCAACATCACCATCAGCATGATCATCAGCATCATTGTCATCATTGTCAGCATCATCATCATCATCATCATCATCATCATCATCACCATCAACAACATCATCATCAGCATCATCATCATCAGCATCATCATCGGCAGCATTAGCATCATCATCAGCAGCATCATCATCATAATCGTCATCATCATCATCATCATCATCAGCATCAACATCATCATCATCATCATCATCATCCTCATCATCATCATCATCATCATCCTCGTCCTCCTCCTCCTCCTCCTCCTCCTCCTCCTCGTCCTCCTCGTCCTCCTTCTCCTTCTCCTCCTCCTCGTCCTCGTCCTCCTCCTCCTCCTCTTTCCGCTTTCCGCTCCTCTGACGGCGGCCCCCGAGGGAACCACCGCAAACCGAACGCCTCCACTACACGCCGAGGAAGCCTCAGGACTGCCTACACACTCCAGGCTCCCTACTCCGAATCCTCCCAGCGGATGTCCCGCCTCTCGCCCAAGACCTCATACAGCCCCCGAGCCCACCCGACGCGGCGGGGATGGGGAGGGGGCTGCACGGGGCAAGAGCGGGGGATGGGCCGCTTGGAGGAGGGGTCCAGCCCCTGCTTTAATTGGCGCAAGGCCCGTGCTCGGCCATCTGTGGGGTGTCCTGCACAGCGATCCGCGAGGGCCAAAATCTGCCGTCTGGCATACGCCCCACACACACTGCACCACACAAGACCGCCAGGACCACCCGAGCACAAGAGCCTGTGAGACCAATGTGCCTGAGCCAGCTTCGCCATGACCCCAGGGCACCTGTCGTGCACCAGCCTGGCTCGAGTCGAGCAGCTGCGGCCACAGCTCAAGCACAACCAGCGGCCTCCAGAATACTTCGCCTGATGCCCTTTGGGATCCGACACGAGCTCGAGCGGGTCGAAAGCGCGACGGAGCCGAGGTTTGAGAGCATCGGGGAAAGAGGAGGCGGCGAGGTGCGCGAGGACCCTGCCTGAGTAGAGGGCAACGAAATAGGCCGACCACCACAAAAGCGGCCTCAATTCCTCTACCTCCTCAGAAACAGGATGCAACCTCGCGCCTTTCTTGGCATACACATCAGCAAGCTTATTAGCTCTGTAGTGAAGCCACGGGACCCCTTGCGCCTGTGCATGAGTCCAGGATTCGTGGCTTCGCATCCAGTGCAAGTGAATCTGTTCAAGCCCTATCTCGTCGATCTTAAACCAAATCTTGCACCACACTTCAGAATACACCTTCGTGGGACGGCAGCACGCTTCAGGCCCTGCCGCCACACCATCGATGAGAGACTTACAATCGGTGACGACCGTTACCTCGCCTACACAAGTGCACAGACACATATAAAAGGCCCAGAGCTCTGCTGCTCCGATCTCCTGCAAGACTCCAGGGTGGGGCCCAAATATGGCTCCTTCCGAGTTCCCATGGCGGTCTATCTTCACGCAAGACCAACCAGCCCTCGAAGCCAGAGGAAAATTGGGCGCCAAACAGGACCCGTCGATGCCAACGAGACCTGAGAGGGCCCCTCCCACCAAGGGCCCGTCATACTCCACGAGCCCATCGAGCCTCGGGGGAGGTTGGAGGTCAAGCAAAGAGTCCACAAGGCCCCTGTGGAGGAGGGGATCATGATGCTCGCATTCTCTGCCAGCACGCGTGACATCGTCCAGGTCAAGCTCGCGTCTGACCACAGCACTGAATTCACATCTGAACAAACGATGCCCCTCGTCTCCTGGCTCCGCCTTGCAGACCTGACACAAGGGCGAGTCGACGGACCGTGCCGCGAAGAGGCGCGCCTGAGTCCAGAGCCCCCCAGCGACATGGGTTCCGAGGAGCTGCGCCGCCGTCTTGAAACCCTCACGTCGAAGCTGCTGCTGAGCCTGACGGATGGGCTCCAGGAGAGGGGGCCCCCCCCCAGGTTTTCCAAACCAGGGGGCCCAGGGAGGCACCGTAGGAGCGCAAGCTCCGTTCCTAAATCGACAACTTTTCGAAGCGAGCCAGGGCGGACCTCCGTCAGATCAACCAGCACCCCCCCCCGCCTCCCACCTCGACTCACTCTGCGGCGTCCAACCCAGGCGCTTCAAGGTGGCCAAAACAGCCGAGCAGGGCCCACGGACCCTGCCGTTAAACTTAGCAAACGCTTTGGCAAAAAGGGACCCCAAGATATCTCTCGACAACCAACCCTCGACGATCGCGCGCCCCCAGAACACCAGCGGCAAGGCGTTGCCCGCATACACGGGATCGGACTTGGGGTCCTCGCTGAGAAAAAATTGCAACGAGCGGCTCTTGCCAGCCGACGGCCCAAACAGCGCCGACCCAGCAGCAGCCCTCAGGGAGGAGAGATCCGCGTTACTCATTCCCGTAACTCTGGTACCATACAGGGCCGCGGGAGCTCCTCCTGCCTTGAAAATCCGAGATAGCCCCTTTCGCGACGAGCTGAGCAACCGAAACCTGCGAATCCTTTTCCTGACGCTCAGAATCCGACCCTTCTGGACCCTGCGTGCCGCCCTTGAACACGAAAAGACAATCCCAAGATTCTTGACCCCGTCGACGACCACGAAGTTCCACCGACGAAGCCTGCTGGATATAGCCTTACCCATGGTCCTGGACGACGCCACAATCCTATTCTTAGTGGGAGACACTTTCAGTCCTAGATCCTCCAGCTTGCTGCACAATGCGTGGAGCGCTCGTACCAGCCCACGAAATACCATCTCGGCTGGCCCGATCACTGACAACGTACAGTCATCCACCACTAGGTAGGCAGAGATGTTGACGGCGAGAGGGATGACCGAATCAAGAGTACTGGTGAGGTACAGACGGAGGAGCATCGTAGCATATGCACACCCTGCGAGGATCCCTTGAGCAACTCTAAACCACTCCGAAACGAATAGCCCCACCTGCAGAACCCTAGGGGCGCTGTACATAGTGACCAGGAGGGCAACTCTGCGCGGGCTGAAACTGTGCTGCACCGCGAAATCCAAAAGGCGAACGTGTCCGACATGCTCATACGCCTTCTGAAGATCAACCAGGCCTGAGGCAGAAGACTGGTTGCGATGAGAGGCCCACTCGTTCATAGCGGACTGAACCCAGACCGCCCTCTCACAACTCTTCCCCTGCGTGGCGTAGACCCAATCCCTCTCATGCCCCCTCTCCCACTGCTTAGCCTCAGACTTCCTGCAGGCCGAGAGAACGCGCATGCACGTGGTCAAGATGCCGATTGGACGCCTCCCCCCTTCTGGTTTCAGTAAAAACCCAATGACAATCTTCCACAACTGAAACGGGAAGGCGGCCAGCCTCTCCATCTGCCACAAGAGGGTAGAAAGCGCCAGAAGCCCGTCGTCGGACAACTGGTTCAGGACGTGCGGGTGCCAACCGTCTGCTCCCACTGCCGTCCACTTCTTAAACTTGCCGAGTGTCCTCCTCAGGAGCGGCAACTCGATAGGCTGTGGGGTCGGGTCGAGGTCGAGCGCCTGTATGTGCTGCTGAATAACCGCGAGACGGTCCAGCTCACTTACACTAGATTTCCACCCCCAGATCCCCTGCCACTCCTGGGTGAGGCCCTCCAGGAGCTGATCGGTTCCCCAAGGGGCCCCACCAGCACTCTCGTCAGGAGTCCAGGCCTGGGGGATCTTAGTGACTTTGTGAGCCAGACCCCCCCCTCCTTGTACAGAACGAGCAACGTGCTCCCGCCAGTTCTTGGCCCTGGACTTCGCGAAGATGCTTTCGATCCTGTGGGCCTCGCTCTGGGCCCTGACGATGAATGACTCCAGATTAAGATCGGGGTGTATATCCAGCGTCCCAAGATCCGTTCTGAAGCTGTTCCAGACTGGGTCCTGCTTGAGTCGCCCCGACCAATCCAGAAGCTTACGCCGAAGACCCAAGGCGTCCCGAGACTCGCACTGCCGTTTCCTGACCAGATACTGCAACTCTTGCAAACGATTCTGAATCAGCCTCCAAGCTCTAGCCTCGGGGGACGCCTTAGGGTAACACCCTCCAGACTTGGGTAAAACTGGCCGCCTAACAACCGAAGCTCCACGTCCTCGGCCACTGCACCGCCTAGCTTCACTCGTCTCCAGACCGTGCAGGAGAGAGAGCTCGTCCTCTGCGGCGTCACAGAACGAGAGGTAGGCAGACGGCAGGTCGAATTCGCTATTCACATCATCGACGATGGTGTGCACAGCATCCCATGACTTACCTAACGGGCGAGGACCGAAGGGGAGCTCTAGCGGGAACTGCTTGGGCAGCTTGAGGGAGGGCAACTCCAAGGCACACGGCTTGCCTGAGACCTCCATGTTGACGGCCCAATGCGGGGCCGTACTACAATCCTCCTGCCGACGACAGTTCTTCACCGAATGCAAAAACCCCGCAGACACGACGAAATAATCCAGACAGCTCCAGGTGGTGGAGGACCCCGAGCTCCGACAAGTGTAGGCCCCCGTGGTGACGATGGAGCCTCCTACCGCTGACGGCCATCCTGAGGCCCCTAACATTTCAGGCGCCACGTTCCAGTCACCCCCGAGAATGAACGGCTGCCCCATGGCCTTCAAGGCCTCGCCCAGCTGCTTCAGGATCAGAAAACTCTGGTCATCGAGGCCCCCGCCAGAGACCAAATAAACCGACCCAGCAATAAAGCCTCCAGGAACCAAGCCGTTGACCCACATGAGGAGAACCCGCTCAGAGGGCCAAGGGCGCTTCGGGACAGGAGCCTCGCAGAGGCCAATGTGAGGCCACGTGCCCACCAACACGCCCCCTGAGAGGCCTCCTCCCGTGTCCCGAGAGGGCGCAGCCTTGGCCTTCCAACCTAGGCGACCTACTGCTGCTTCGCGATCAGGCTGCAGCTCAGGAGCGATGGCCACCTCCTGCAGCATGACCACGTCGGCGTCGCACTCGTTCTCGAGGAACCACTGCACGCTGCTCCAGCTGGTGGTGTTGCAGGTGCAGAACTTCCAACACTTGGGTGAAGCTGAAGCCGCCGTAGGACCATCTCCAGCTTCGCGTTCTCGCCATAATTCTTGCCGATCCGACAAAGGGTTTGGACGGGATGTGGCGCCCGCTGGGTCCGCGGACGCCGCCTCGCAGTCACTGGCGGGGCAATCAAAGGGTGCCCCCAACTTCTGACCCACCTCGTCGCTGGACGTGCCGCCGTCCAGCTCCAGTTGGTGGCTACCCCCGCGGCCTGGCCCCGCGGGCGTCGCGGCGTCCCCGCAGCGTGGGCGCGGCCAGCGCCCCCCGCGGGCGCCGACTGCACCTCTGGGTCACGCCCCTGGGAACGGCTGCGTCCCCTCGCGTCGGGCAGCCTCCCTTGGTCAGTTGCTCGAGCGAGAGCCCTTGTGGCTTCGTCCTGCACGCGCTGGTCCGCCGCCACGAAGAGCTGCCCCCCAGCTGCATGAGCACGAGGGGGGGGAGCCATGGGCTCGTCCGAGTCGGAGTCGTCGGCACCTGCCGCGTCCCAGGCTTGTCCTCCAGGATGTCCTGATGCCGCCGCGAACTCCTGGGTCTGCCGACACAGTGCCGCGGCCGCCTCCTGCCCGCCGCCTGGGGAATGAGGCTGTCGTACATCTGCTGGCGAGGCCCCACGAGCAGGCTCCGCATCAGCACGCTCAGCAGGTCCCGTGCCCATCCCAGGCGCCGCGCCCGCTCCGGCCGCAGCCCCCACGACTGCCCCGAGGAGCCGCTCGCAAGCCTCGACCAGCGCCGCGACCGCTGGGGGAACGTCCCCCCCCACCGCGGCGCGCGCCTGGCCGAAGGCGGTCTGGGCTGCACGCACCTCTGGGCCGAGCTGCGCCCATGGCGCCAAGGCCACGGAGGCACGCGCCCTGGCGGCGGCGTACTCCTCCTCCAGGCCTCGCACCGCCTCCCGCTGGTCGGCGACCTGCACCATGATGTCGGTGGCCGACTGCTCCAGCTTCTGGAGGCGACCGCGGGCTCCCAGCAGCTGGTTGGAGAGCGAGCTGACATCCTGCGAGGCTTGCCAGGCGTCTCAGGCAGGCTGCGCCAGCCCAGATTCCGCCATGGCGCGGCGGTGCAGCAACTTGTCACGCTGTGACTGGGAAAGCACACCACTGAGGGAACGGAACTCCTCATCACTGAGCCCGAGCCAAACGCGCTGCTCGTCCTCGGTGAGCGCCCGCGGCTTTGGCCCAGCGCCTGCGCCCCCACGATGTTGGCCACGAGCTGGGTCAGCCCATGCACCTCCAGGAGCACGAGGAAGGGCATGTTGGGGCGCCTTGGGCTTGGGCGCCCCGCAAATGTAGCACTCGGTGCGCCACTCAAAGTTGTCCTTGCACGAACAGCGCTTGGCCGCACATGCCCATGCATCCCGTAGCCACCCATTGCCTCCCTTAGCCATCGGCTGCCGAGGGACAGATACAACAATGAAAGCTCAGAAGAGCAGGCCTGGTGGCAGGGCAGCACACCAGGAAATCACACGCCAAAACCACCCGAGCCTGCCGCACGGCTGCGGACAAGCTCGAAGCCTCGCGGCAAGGTTTCGAACTTGAGCCAAAATGGCTACGGAGTTCCTCCTCCTCCTCCTCCTCCTCCTCCTCCTCCTCCTCCTCCTCCTCCTCATCCCCTGCGGAGCTGCCCCGCGGCTGGCGGAGGGACACGCGGACCGCCTCTCTCCCCCTGCTGCTGCCTGCTGGCCCGCCTCAGTCCTCTCTTTTTCAAGTGCCTGGAGGGGAGGGGGGAACGGAGGGAGGTGAGCAGGAGGGGGGGGAAGAGGAGGAGAGGGGAGGGGAGGGGAGGGGAGGGGAAGGAGGGGGAGCGGAGGGAGGGGAAGGGGAGCGGAGGGGAGGGGGAGCGGAGAGGGAGCGGAGGGGAGGGAGGTGAGCAGGAGGGGAGGGGGAGCGGAGAGGAGGGAAGGGAGGGAGGCGAGCAGGAGGGGGGAAGGGGAGGAGAGGGGAGGGGAAGGGAGGGAGAGAGGGAGGGAGGGCGGGGGAGCGGGAGGGGGAGGGTAGGATTCCCCCCAGCTGCGCAAGCAATGGCCCTCCCCCCGCGCCGCCCCCCAGAGGCGCGCCTTCGCCGCCCGCGCTGGCTCCGAGGCGGCCTGCGTGCCCGACACCGTGACCGCCGAGACGTTTCCCTCCAGGGAGGCCAAGATAGGACGACGCCGGGTATACTGATACACCGATCCTGGCCAGGCCCATCCTGGGCATAGGATCGGTGTATATGCACTCGTGCCCCAGCCAGGAGGGCGCATACACCGATCCTGAGACTAGGATGAGCCTGGCCAGGATCGGTGTACGTTGATGTATGGTGCCCTCCGAGGGGGGGGGGGGGGGGGAAGCGGACAGGAGCGCGAGAAGGGGGGGGAGTTCGGGCTAGGGCGGGAGCGCAGAGGGGGAAGGGAAGAGAACACAGAATACGGAGTGTTCTGCCTGGGGGAGGAGGGGCGAGGACCAGGAGGACGCGCAGGAGCAGCCGCCCCCCTTCTCAAGCCGCCTCTCCGGGTGCAGCGGCCCCCTGCGTGCTCCCCATGCCAGCAGCGGCGAAGTAGCTGCCGAGCCCGAAGCCGGGTTTGGCCGCCTGGGTCGCCTTCGGGGGCGGCGGTCTGCGCGGGGAGGCCCGCGGAAGGTCGGGGAGCAGGGGAGGTTCCTTCGGGAGCCTCCCGCAGGAGCCTCCCTCGAGAGCCTCCCTCGAGAGCGTCGAGAGCCTCCCTCGGGAGCCTGGCCTCCGCAGCCTCCCTCGGGTCTTGATGGGGCTCGGAGTGAAGTTCAACAAAAAAAGAACTCGCTGGCATTCCCTCCTCTCATGTCAAGTGGGGCATCCTGCCACGTAGTGCGCAGGAAACGGGGGGGCCTGAGAAGGCCTACAGGGGGCTCCTGGGAGGCAGTTTTGAGGCCCCTGTGGGGCTGCTTTGGGGGCCTCGAGGGTTTTTGTTCGGGCGGGGGGCCTCTCAGGGGTCTCGGGTTTGTCGGGGGCCTCTGGGGTCCTGGAGGCCTCTCGGGGGCCCCTTGGGGCCTCCTGCTCCCGCTCTCGGGCCCATCTTGTGCCTGTCCTCGAACCTTCTTGGGCTGTCTTGGGCGCCCGTTGGGCAGTCTTGAGGCTCTGAGGCCGTCTGTCCTGGAGGCGTCTCGTGGGCCTCCTGCTCCCGCCCTCGTGCCCATTTTGAGCGGCCTTGGGGCGCTCTTGGCCCGTCTTGGGCGCCTCTCGGGCAGTCTTGAGGATATCTGGGGCCGTCTTGGGCTCTCTTGGGGGGTTCTTCCGCCGGCCTGGGGCGGTCTTGGGGGCCTCTTCGATGTCTTGGAGCGTTGGAAACTCGAAAACGCGGGAAGGCCAAAAACTCAATGAACTCAACTTGGAAACTCGGGACGCCTCTCGGAGGTCTCTTGGGGCCTCTTGGAGGCCTTCTGGTTAACTCTTCGGCGATCCTGGGAGCCTGGAAAGCCGTCGGAAGCCTTTCTTGGGCTGCTTGACAGCGTCTTGGGCTGCTTTGTTGCATTCAGGGGGCGTCTTGGGCCGTCCTGGGGCGTTTTGAAGCCTTCCTGCGAGGCCCGGGGGCGGGGTACCGGTAGTCGCCCCTAGATTTTCCAAAGGTGTGGGACGCTCCTGTGGCATTCGGAAACTTGAAGCCCTCGAAGGCGTCCTTGGGTCGTTCTTCGCCGGTGACGGGGGCCATAATTGTTGCCTGGTGTGCCTGGCTGGCTTCGAACAAAAAAAGAAATTCGGAGAATTCCCTTTTGTTCAAATTGCCATGCTGGGCTGTGGTCAGAAATCTCCGGGATACAGGCCATGGTCTGCTGGGATGGCCTTCGGGGCATTTTTGGCGGCGTCTTGGAGGTTTTTCGGCGCCGTTTGGGGAGCTCTTGGCGCCTCCTGGAAGCCTCCCGGGAGTCTCCGCAGGCATCTGGCACCTTGGGGCAAAGCGCTCGTAAGGCTTTGGGGGATCCCCTCGTTTGTCTCTTTCTTGGCGCGAGCGCGTCGATGTTCTAGCTAGGCTGGACAGGTGAACTCATGGGATCTAGATTTTTACGGTGGTTTCAGGGGCATCCATGAGGACATGGAGACGACCCAAAAGAGTGCCAAGACAGCGTCAGAGAGTTCAACAACATTCCCGAAAAATGTGTGCAATGTGACCCCGAAGTCTTGATGGGGCTCGGGTGAACAAAAAGAGTCACTGGATTTCCTTTTTTCAACTAAGAGGCGTGCAGGGAACTCTTGGGAGGCAGTTTGGAAGCCGCTGGGGGGCTGTTTGGGGGCCTGTTGGGGCCATTTTTGGGCCTCTTCGGAGTTCTTGGGGGCCTCTTCGGGCTCTCTGGGGGGACTCTTGGGGCCTCTGGGGGCCTCTTGGAACGGAAAGCTGGGATTGTCGATTTGCGTTCCCCCTGTTGGGCTGCTTTTCGGGCCAAGTATCTTGGGCTGCCTCGGGGCGCTCTTGGCCCATCTTGGGGCCGTCTTGGAGCCGTCTTGAGGGCTCTTGCGGTCTTGGGCAGTCTTCGGGGCCTTTTTCGGCCGTCTTGGAGCGTTGGAAGCTCGAAAACGCGAGGAGGCTAAAAACCGCAAAAAAACATGAAAGTCAGCGATGTTAGCCTCCTCGGGCGCTCCCTGGACGCCTCTCGGAGCTCTCTTGGGGCCCCTTGGAGGCCCCCTGGGAGCCTGGAGAGCAGTCGGAGGTCGGTCTTGGGCTGCTTGGAAGCGTCTTCGGCCGTCTTTTCGCATTCCCGGGGCTCCTTGGGGGCGTCTTGGGCCGTCCTGGGGCGTTTTGAGGCCTCCCTGGGAGGCCCGGGGGCGCAGTACCGGGAGTTGCCCACAAATGTCACGGAGGTGGGGGACGCTCCCGGGGGGGGGGCGTATTGTTTTTTGTTGTTTTCTTTCTTACCTAACAGCGAAGACTGATAGGTTTCTAGCGGGGTCAGAAGAGAGCATCTTGACTCCCCAGGGGGGTCCGGGCAGGATCCGGGGAGAAACCGCGGAAGTCGCTTTAAGCAAACAGTTACACACTTCGTGGTCTTCGAGGTCCCAGAACTCCATTCCCGGGCCACATTCTGAATGCCCGGAGCCAACCGTAGGCCACTTCGTGGTCTTCAAGTTCCCAGAACTCCATTCCTGGGCATGATTTTGACTGCCCGGAGCCAACTGTAGGCCACTTCGTGGTCTTCGAGTTCCCAGAACTCCATTCCTGGGCATGATTTTGAATGCTGAGGCAGGCTGATGCTGAGGCTGATGCAGGCTGAGGCTGCGGCAGGCCGAGGCTGAGGCCGAGGCTGAAGGCAGACTGAGGCTGGGGCTGATGCAGGCTGAGGCTGAGGCTGAGGCAGGCTGAGGCTGATGCTGAGGCAGGCTGATGCTGAGGCAGGCTGAGGCTGAGGCTGAGGCTGATGCAGGCTGAGGCTGAGGCAGG